GTGTTTATTGTGTGAACGCTTCACAGCATTCACACTATTGAGATAATTTTTTTCTGCCTTACGTTTTTCGGCATCTAACTTGTTCCACAATTTCTGAGCTGTTTCAACAATTCATATATCAAAACATTCAGCTCAGTCATGTGAGGGGGGCTATGACTTTTGGTGTTTCAGCTACTTCTACTTTTTTAGCTATTTCACTATTTTAGCCACTTTTTTACCATTGAAAATGAATGGAACTGTTTTCAACATCCTTAAAATCGTTTAAAATGTTTCTAAATCTTTACAATACCTTACACATTTTGTTCTGGTGATGCTTTTTTCACTTTCTTGTGCGAATTTCAACTACTTTTTTTGTTAATTTTAGCTTTTTTCTGTCAATTACACTAAAATTCTGCTTTTTTCCCCACTATTCTTCTGATTTTTCTACTTTTTGTGCATTTTTCTGATACTTTGTGCAATTTATTCTTCTTACAGATGCTTTCTGATATATTCATCAATGTGCTGAAATTTTAGCTAATGTTTAGCTGTTATTAGCTAAGGTTAGTTTTTCTAAGCTAAATACACATTTTTGTAGGTATTACAACTTTTTCCAGCTAAATTCATCAAACCTGTGCTCCTTACGCTTCCTTATGCTAACTAAAAAAAAATTCCAGCTACTTTTTAGCTGTTTTCCTGAAAATTGTGGCTGTTTTGCTACTTTACTACAAATTGGCACTTTTATGTATTTTTATGCTTTTTCCTGTTATTTTTTTTACAGCAGTTTCACTATGTGCTAATTTCAACTTGTGGCTGCTATTTTTAGCTTATTTTATGCTAATTTAACTTTGCTTTTTTAGCTGTAGATCTGCTTGTTTTTGCTATTCTGCTTTTTTCAACTTCTTGTAGAAAAGAGCTCATTTGTACACTAGCTTATTTGTGCTACTTATGCTTCTTACATATGTTTTCAGCTATATTCAGTTATTTTAGCTCTTAGCTTTTAGCTGTTTTCTGTTTTTATCAACTAGTTTTTCTGCAAAGTTAGGCTTTTTCTTACTTCTTTCAGCTTTTCAAAGTAAGCTCACATTAACACTTTTGCTGTTAAATATTTTCAGGTCAATTTCATATGTATTCAGCTTAAGTTTTCAGCATGGAGCATTCACACTAGGATTTTTGCAGGAAATGCAACTTTTCTAGTTAAGATTATTAAATTGTTATACTGGGTGGGCCATTTATATGGATACATCTAATAAAATGGGAATGGTTGGTGATATTAACTTCCTGTTTGTGGCACATTAGTATTTAGGAGACGGGAAACTTTTCAAGGTGAGTGGTGAACATGGCCGTTTTGAAGTCAGCCATTTTGGATCCAACTTTAGTTGTTTTTTTTCCAATGGGAAGAGGGTCATGTGACACATCAAACTTCTTGAGAATTTTACAAGAAAAACAATGGTATGCTTGGGATCGGGTATTGACAGACATTAATGAGTTGACTTTTAGAATTTGAAACCCTCTGATAGAGAGCGCTATATAGGAGAAAAAAGGCTGTAAGAAAATTTCGTGTTCGTTAAACTGGAATCGAGATGAAACCACATAAATATTGAATAAATTTAAATGTAAAAGAATTGGGACCGTACAACCCAGATCTGGTAACGAGCGAAGCTTTATTGCTTATGCTGAAGCAATCGGAGCAACGCTGCCTGAATCCCGGAACTTCCGGTCCTTTTATACAGAGTCTTCAGTGCCTGGTCCGCCCCCTACTGGCCTACGGCTGAATCGCAGACACTCTGAACAACAATACTCACCTAATGTATTCAAAACAGTTTCTTATGTGTTGTAAAAATGTTTCGGGCATTTATCTAAACTATTTTAATCAAGACATAATAGTTAAACAATAGATTATAAAAGTCAATACTTAAAAAGGAAAACTAAGAAAATGGTGTAGTAGTATATAACCTGACTAATAAATTTCTTCAAGGCTATAATTAGGTTTATGTTGGAAGAGAATTTCTTTTTGCTTTAACAGTTAAATATTTTCACAAAAAATAAGATTTTTATCCCGTGAAAAGTAAAAATGAACCTATTGTCATGATGCAATTAGCTTAGCATCACAAAACAAAATATGATTTGTCTGGGCTCTTAATTTAAAACAAGTGTAGAAAAAGTACACTCTGGTTCATTTTGGCCACCTCAGAGTTTGCAGTAAAGACACTTGAAAAGCAGCAGGAAATTCAAGGCTGCTTTGTTCCAAAACAATTGGATTATCTATCTGTTTCCCAGCGGCACTGCCCTCTTATCTTAACCTCCCCAGGATGGAATGTCAACTAAGAGCTGGATTCGCTCCCACCCCCATCACCTGTGTTGGACCTGGTCTTGGAACTCAACTGGCTGAGGAGGAGGAAAATCTCTGAACTCTAGCGAACTGAGTAGAGACAATAACATCATGTGACTCTGGACTCTGGATGGGGCCAGGGTTGGGCCTAGCACGGACCCCCACCCTCCCTCAACGTCATCTACTCCTCTGAACCCACCCCATTTTACCTGCCCTTTATGTGTTAACTGACCTTTTATATTTTTATGTATAGTGTGTGATTTGTGCTGTGCATCAAACGCGTTTTTAGGAGAAGCAAATGATAATTGGTTTTTCTGTGCTTTGCCATTCCAGACACTGAACAAAAACAACCTACTGCCAGATGAAAGATCCAACTTCTACCCGACGCCGCTCCAGCAGACAAACGTCTACACCACCACCTACTATCCCACGCCACTCGGAAAGTTCGACTACCAACCCAACTCCTCCCCTTCACCGTGCAGGACCTACAACAACAGTAACAGCAGCTGAGACCCAGTCCACAACTGACTCTACACTGCCCCCCTCCTGCCGTAAACACACACTGCACCTTGGTGACATAACTGAACCAACATGAACTGGGATGTTGTTGGGCACTTGGCAAAGTTTCTCTGCTCACCATCACCTCCCTGCTTACATAGTCTCTTCTGCATGATGAGGTTTTGTATTTTTTGGACATTTCCATCAAGAAATGTGGATTTGATGAACAAAGCCGGTGTCCCGGTGAAGTTAAACAACCAGCTGGAGGTTTGTTTTTGTTCGAATTTGTCTGGATCTAGCTGAACAACCCACTGCTTCATGTGGAGAACAAAGTGAGGGGGGAAGGGGGCACGTTTTGGCTTTGAGGAGTTTGTTGTGACGACTTTTGCACAAGTAATGGGTCGGACACCCAAAGTTGCAAAGACTAACATGAACACAATGTAATCCAAACTACCATTTTATGCCTTTCCATTACAAACCACACTCTCAGCCGGTAATGAACTGAAGACCCTCAACAACAAAGGCAATTCCAGAGAACAAAGTGTGCATGTGTTTGTGACCTTGCCACACAGCACAGAGCAAGGGAACGACAACAAAAGAGGAAGCTCAATGAAGTCGATGATGAAATAAATTACAGATCAATATCAGCTCGGCTGTTTGGAGGGAAACGTGCTATCCCCATTGTTGTTACTTCACATGACGGCAAAGATAAGAACCTGAAACTTGATTAAGGTTGTTTTTTTTAGTAGAGCTGTTTACGCAAAGTCACAACGAGCAACATCACCCTCAGATGGACAGCAGTGTGGATTAAATCTGCTTCTGATCAACGTCCTGAACTTTTGGACAAAAAGGACGCACTCATGAGGTCGAAGGGAGGAATGTGGGGAGCGTTGGGTACTGGACTCACTTTGGGAATGCCATGGGTGCCTGTATGCAATAGAGGACAGAGTCGTTGTTTTTTGTTTTCCCATTTCTATTTCTTTCTGTTTCATTTGATCTAAGAACAATAAAAACTTCTCAAAGGGAATTATTTGATTCTACAATGAATTCTCCATCGAATGAATGCAATTCTACTGAGTGCTTAATAGTTCAGTGGTCATATCAAATATGACCAGTGTGCTGAGGAACTGCATTGGGTTTTCTATAATGGTAGAATAAGCTAGTAGACTGGCACTTGCTCTTTTTTTAATGTTTGTTTTTCAAGATAATTATTGTTTTATACGACGGTGTATTTGGGCCACTTTGCCGATGGGAAAAAAAAGGAGGAGCAAATCTCTGAGAAAAAACTCAGAATTTCTGAGATTAATTTCAGAAATTTTCGAGAAAAAAACAGGAAGTTCTCTTATTTTGAAAAGTCGAAAATTTGCGAGAAAAAAAAACTTGTTTATAAAATGCATAAAAATTGCTAAAATCACCATATTTCCTTAAGCTTCACATATCAAATATATGTTTCACAAATCACACACTTGGTTTTAAACATTCTGCACTCAGAGTAGAATAATCTAGTCCAGGTTTGAAGTCTGATACGGGCTGTCAGGTCCTTGTACGACCGGTGTCAGAGTCTGGTTCGCATTGCCGGCAGTAAGTCGGGCTTGTTTCCGGTGAGAGTTGGACTCCACCAAGGCTGCCCTTTGTCACCGATTCTGTTCATTACTTTCATGGACAGAATTTCTAGGCGCAGCCGAGGTTTTGAGGGGATCCGTTTTGGTGGAAGAAAATGGATGGATGGATGGATATATATATATATAT